CATACCTAAACAAAAATTGATCGAACATATATGGCGAATTTCTTTAGTGTCGTACCATAATCTATCGGTAAGTCATTATCGGCGTACATGGTCCTAGACCGAAGCCGGATTTTGTCTACCTTGATTCAAGGACTTAATTGCTAGTTGTCTAGGTCGTGGATGTAGGCTGGTGAAGGTGTATAGGCCTTACACATAGAGTGATGGGCAATTGTAACTTACCTTTCGAGAGCTTTGTACAGCACTTGACCAAATTAGGATATAATAACGCATGCACTTATCATAGCCCCGCACCCACAAATTACACCCAACCACAAATTACACCCAAACTCACGAGAGAAACGAATGTAGGCCATTCAAATAAAAATATTTGTATGGCCATTTTAATTTGCACATTTATTCCAACTCTACTGCCACGCAGAGGTCCCGGCTGGAAATCGAACCTGGGACTCTGCGTGGCAGTTATGCTTGTTAACCGTTCGGCTACGAAGGCAATTGAAGCAATCCTCAATTCACGAACACTAACCCCTCTCTCGAGCGATACAGAAGACCTAATGCCATTGACACTAGGACATTTCGTCATCGATAGACCGCTCACTTCTTTGCCAAGCCAGGATTATCAAGATGTGCCAAATAATCGCTTAAATCGTTTCCAGCAAATTGAAAAACTTCGACAACATTTTTGGTGCAGATGGAACAAAGAAATTGTCTCAGAACTTCAAATGAGGACGAAATGGCGTATTTGTAAAGACGCATTGAAGATGACAATCTACCACCGTTAAAATGGAAATTGGGTCGAGCTACAACTCGTATTTCCTGGCACTGATTGCGTCAATAGAGTGGCTAGTATCAAAACTTCTACAGGAACTGTAAGGTTCTTTTTCAAAAATTTGTCCACTTCCCGAAGCGAGCATTACTGGTTGAAAGGCAAGCTTTCAACGGCCGGCGGAATGTTCACGCATGAAGACTTATTTTTATAAATAGTGCCTAAATCTTATAAGAAGCTTAAGAGGATTCTCTCAATGAGCAACGACTTTTGTTATCTCCTGTGCTAAGTCCCGTATAGCGGCCAACTAGGGGATGAATCAAATAAAACTTTGCAAATAGATGTAATTCCTCGAACTTTTGCGGTCGGTTTTTTAGTACTCTGTACTGAGCTTATGTTAAATCTACTCGTACTAGGTATACTATGGTTTTGTGATTGTGAGTGTAAACTCGCCACAAACCGCTTTCGCAGTTTGGCGAGAAATTGTATTATGTTCTCTTGT